TAAATCATAATAATTTCTTTTTTTTTTGGGTCAAAAGAGAATTGTTTTAGTTTTTTTTGGAATACGGGCATTTAAAATATTTTGGGAGAGATGCATGCATCTATCTAAAACCGGCAGCGGTATAGTAGCTCCTAATTATGAATTATCTAAACCCATTAAAAAAATAGTACTTTTAAACTAAAATTTACACAAACCCGATTATAGGGTAATCGTCCAAACCTGATCCCATTACTCAAATGTAAATAGTATTAGGTGGGTGTCAGCACCGTATCGAGGGTCAAAATTTTGTTTTGATATGTTTATTCATTGATTTTTTTTTTAATTTAAAAAAACACTTAATTTAAAAGAAAAAGTAAAAAAAAATATATAAAAGTTCCAAAAACTTTAAAAAAGTATTTGGTTAAGGGGAATCATATTTTTTTTTTAAAATTTTATTATTAGATGCTTAATTTTAATATTTAATTTAAGATTATCTGATTTCAAAAAATTTAATATATTTTTAATAGTATCTAAAGTCTCAGAATTAAAAACTTATATCTCTATGATATTTTAAGATTTTTGAGAGAAAAATAAGATTACCTTCAAATTTGACCTGAATAAAAATACCTGAAATAACTATTATCATTTTAAAAAAAATGTTTGAAAATGAAAGAGATTTTTAATAGGATTATTAAAAGTATTTTTGACTAAAAATACCTTCAATAATCTTGTCATAAATTTTTATAACATGATTACTCGATGTACTTTTTGTAAAAAACACCTTAAATAATCCCAAATTTTTTTTTTAATGGGGTTATTGAAGATATTTATGATCAAAAAAATTTTTAATAATCCTTTTATAAATTTTTATGATGTGATTACTTAAGATATTTTTAATAATCCTTGAACAATTTCAAAAAAAATTTTAATAGGTTTATTGAAGGCGTTTTTAGTAAAAAATACCTTCAATAATCTTTTTATAAATTTTTATAATATGATTACTCAAGGCATTTTTAGTAATCAAGATATTTTTCACCAAAAACGTCTTAAATAATCTTAAAAATTTTTTTAATAGGGTTATTGAAGGTGTTTTTGGTCAAAAACGCTTTTAATAATCCTCTTATAAATTTTTTTAAGGTGATTACTCAAGGCCTTAAAATAATCTCAAACTAAATTTTTAATAGGGATATTAAAGGCGTTTTTGGTCAAAAATACCTTCAATAATCTCCTTATAAATTTTTGTAAGATGATTATTCAATACATTTTTAGACAAAAACCTATTGAATAATCCCAAAAAATTTTTTTTAATAAGGTTATTAAAGACATTTTTTTACCAAAAAGGCCTTTAATAATCCCATTATAAAATTTTATGAGGTGATTACTTAATATAATTTTGGACAAAAATGCCTTGAATAATTTCAAAAAATTTTTTAGTAGGGTTATTAAAGGTGTTTCTAGGAAAAAACACATTCAATAATCTCATCATAAATTTTTCTAACGTGATTACTCAATGCGTTTTTTGATAAAAATATCTTGAATAATCTCAAAAAAAATTTTAATAGGATTATTGAAGGTATTTTTGATCAAAAATGTATTTAATAATCCCTCCATAACATTTTATAACATGATTACTCAAGATGAAAAAAATCTTAAATAATCCAAAAAAATTTTTAATATGATTATTGAAGACGTTTTTTTATCAAAAATACCTTTAATAATGCATTCAATATTTATTATTCCAAAGAGATTATAATAATTATTTAGAATTTAATATATGTAAATTCTCTTCAACTAAATGAGTGAATTTAAAAATGAAATGCTCTGAAAATAAAAAAAAACCTCAAATATTATATTTTCTGAGAGATCACACTTTTTCTTGAAATCTATGATTTCGTGAACTAAACACCCCTAAGTGTGAGTGATATGTAAATATAGAAATTGATTTCTTATTCTCATAAATACTTTTTCTTTTATAAAATTTAATAGTGAATTTAAAAAAAAAATTTTAAAAATAAAGTATTAAAAAAATCAAATTTAGATGTAATGTCAACACATTTGTAATATTTTTTAAGAAATTATTAAATTAAACAAAAAAAATTTAATCAATACTATCAAATTAGCCCCACATAATAAAAATGTTAAAATATAAAAAACTATTAAATATTTGCAAAGGCAAAACAAGTAAATAGAAAAAAATTAAAAAAAAAAAAGCAAATAACTTGATAGTGACTTACCTTTGGTATCAAGTGAGATAATTAAAAAAAATTTAAAATCTTAAAAATATTTATTAAATATATAAAAATAATAATAGACAAAAAGAAAAAAATACGTGACAGGTATTGCGTGAGTCCTACAATAAAAAATTAAAATCTTTTAAAAATATTAAATAAAAAAACAAAGGAAAATAAATGACTTGACACGTTATATATCTCTAGTATCAAGTGAGTCAAATAAAAAATGTTAAAATGTTAAAATATATTTATTAAATATATAAAAAAGTTAAATAATAAAAAAGAAAAAAAACAAGTGATGTACTATAAATGGGTCCCACATAAAAATTAAATCTTTAAAAATATTAATTAAAATTAAAAAAATAAAATGACAAAAAAAGACAAAAAATGAAAAAAAAATTTGGTATAAAACAAATCCCATCGTAAAAAATTTAAATATTTATAAATATATATATATATATATATATATATATATATATATATCTAAAATGAATGAGCGTTACTTGACACTCTTGTAAAGGGTCAAAGAGTTGGTCAAAATAACCAATATTAATATAGGATGGGTACTCATTATTAAACCCTATTTTAACTTAAACCTACAAAAAAATAAAAATAAAATTAATTTTTATATATGTTATTATCAAAATTAAATTAATAAACTAAAATTCATATTCAGACAGTTAATGAAATCTAATTAGTATTAAGTTAATAATAAGTAATTATAAGAAAAATATAATATTAAATATTAAAAAATCATATTTATAATTGAATCAAACAGTAGATACTCTAAAACTTTTTCCCGAACCTTATCCGAACCCATGATGAATTAGATTCTTATTATCGATTCTAGGGTATCGTAATCATACTTAATCGGGTCGGGTACTGTAATTACCGCCCCATTATCATTGGTATTTCTATCCTGATCCTATGTTTGGGTGTCAGGGAATATATATATCTATATATACATGTCATAGGAGCAAGCAACAGTACCATACCACGTGCACAGTAAAGAAGAGGGGAAATAAAAAGGAAGATGGTTCTAATATGAAAATGGTCCCAAATTCTGTTCTGATTCATGCCCTGCTAACTGCAAGCCATTTCCCCTTGGATTCGCACATGGCTACTAGCCAATACATCCGCCATATTGAAAGCGTTGTGGTGGGCACAGCGGTACCCCCTCATTGTCAGGGCAGGCTTAGGCAGGACCCCCATTGTCTGCCTTTGTCCGGCATCATTTTGATAACTTTGGGTCATCTTAATTGGACCCAAAGATCATTTCTCTCCCTTTTTATTCTCTTTCTCAATGCTAGGAATCATTTCTGGAATTGGAGTCTCACCATAATTTGCTGAGCCTGAGGGGTTTACTACGCTTGATACAACATTTTAAATCTCACATTAGTTACTCAATTCTCCATGCTTACTTTCAGTTTGATTAGATTCATTTTCAGCATACCAATTCCTAACCATATGAAAATAATAATAATGGGGACTAAAAAGTATACAAGTCAGAAAATAAGAAGTTTCTTGAAATCTTTATTATGCTAAGCTAAGTTTTAGATATAACAATCGGTGTATATTATTATATTTGTTTCATGTAAAATAAATATAAAATATAAAAATTATCGTATTATAATTTATTTTAATAAAAAAATAAGATAAATAATTTTTTTTCAAATAATAAAAGATTTTTATTAAAATTTTAAACTGATATTTTTATATATTTTTATTATTTTTGTATTATATTGTATGATGTTTAAAATTATTAGGTTTACTATGCTTAAAGAAAATCATATTAAACTCATCTCCTTACGTTACTGCTCGTACAAGAGAATTATGCATAGTTGATTAAAAGTTTCAACTAGCAACTTTAAAACAATGTTAAAGATCTTAAAATCATATGGCAAGCTACCTTCCTTAGAAGCAACTTTCCCCTGGGGGAGCCCACCTGAAATTGGGGTGGGTAGGGGCGCCATAATTTACGGCTACTTTATTTTTATTGTTTAAAATTTAGTATCGTGAATAATTATTCACCAATCTGTTCCTTGAAAAAAATGGTTAGACTTACGTCAGGGTTCTATAAAAATAATACAGAAACACCTAAATGATCCATTAAAGAGCAGCTAGAATGATGGGTATGAGCAGGAGAAGAAAGAAACGGGACAGACGTGAGAAAAGGAAAGAATCTACTTCACGTTGAAATCATTGGCTTTTAGTGCCTAATCAATAGATGATTAGGAGATAAAATAAGCAAAGATAATATATATGCTTTTCAAGTCACAGATCAGTATGATCATTATTGCCCATTTGCCGACATCTTTGAAAACCAAAAAGCTCCGGACAAAAAATCCAACAGCAATCACCCAGTCATCACTTGCAAGAAAATGAATTCTACATAATATCAGAGCCTGTTGGCTACAACTTTCAATTTTAAGACGCAATCCGATTACAGGAAAATGATTAAAAATATAAGAAGATAATATACATTAAAATTTTAATAAAAATCATAAATAAATTTAATAAAAAATATATTATATCAATATAAATTATAATATATAATTTTTAATATAAAATTAACATAAATACATGAATTATTAATATTTAACATTAAACAAATACTTAAATTATTAAATCAGTACTGGAATTATTAGATCAGGGATATAAACAGTAAACCAAGGTTCAATTTAAACATCTAACCAGATTAAAATGTCCAGGATTTATAATCCAGCACCTTTTTTTTTCCTTTCACCAAGGCCCCATTTTGCAATGAAGTTGTAAAGATTTTTATGATGGTCTGTAAACAAAGTTGTGGAGCAGGTTTTTTTTTTTTTTTTTTCTTAGCTGTTTCTTCAAAGGAAAGAAAAACGACAAGCAAAATTAAGAAACTGTCAAGAACAAGTCCCAAAGACATCATCTGATTCCAATTTATCTATCCCTTCCTCTAGCATCATCTCTTGGCAACGGCATTCAATGCTGCAAAATGCTTTCTCCCCTCTGAAAGAGAATAAGGCAATGAGATTCTAGATTTTAAAATTGGCTTGTAATCATAATAAAAGCAAGTTTGATATTGAAGAAACTTGAAATTATTACACTAATACATGAAACAAAAGGTCAAATTCCTAGTCCTCAAACAGATCAAACTAGAAAGACTAAGGTTGAATTGAAAGAAAAATACAATTGAAATCAAGTTCAATCTATTGATTGATCAAAATAGGGTCAAAATTTCATCAAATACTGGATCAAAACATTTTCCTTTTAAATAGAAAACTGAAAGCCAGAAACATATAGAGAGAAATCATGTCAAAGAGAGCAAAAACCAATTCCATAAAGGAAAACTTGAGGCTAACCCGTATATGAAAATGTCTTTTCCCTGACCAAGATTCTTCTTGCAAGTGTAACAAGAGCTGAGAAAACTCTCCGATTGATAACTTGATCTATCACCTAAAAATCCATTATCCTTCTTTGAAGAAGAGAACCCAACAACCCCACAACAGCTCTCAACAATGCAATTATCAAAAATATGGGTGGTTCTTGGATTAGGCCCATGAGATATTACACAGGTGTAATCTTCTGAGAGTTCCATGTCAGTAGCAGACAGATTCCCAGTGAAGGCCCTAGGAGAATTCAAGGTCTCAATGCTTTTCCTCACAGGAGAAGGAGACAAGCCAGAAGAAAATGAACTCAATTGAGAATTCCTTGTCTTGATACCAAACTCAGGAGGTGTTCTAGGAGATTCTGCCGGAGAAAAAACAGGAGGCAGAGATGGAATTTGGATCCTAAGTTGTGAACCAAACAGGACAGGTTTTGACAAGTTGGAATCAAAACCATCATCTCTGAGAGCATCAACAATGCCAAGACCAATCCCTTTTGAGTCAAGTTTGTGTCTAGTTTCAGGTTCTGGGATTTTGGGGGTGCTTGATTCAGACCAAAATGGGTTTTTGAATGCTGAAGAGGGCTTGCTATCAAGTATAGAAGTTGGGCTTATTATAGCCTCAGTATTATCAGAAAAAGCTTTTAAAGTAAAACCAGTTAACAACCTAGGAAATGATGTGGGCTTCTTCTGCTGCTTATCTGTTGCAGATGAAAGAGTAGTGTCACAGTCTGCCATTATTGAAATCTAAACCTTCACTAGCTGATTCTTGCTCTAGATCATTTTCAGAGCATCAATTGAAAATTGGTATTATTGTTGAACTGTAAACAATGGAAAATAAAAATTAACAAAAAATTCAAAACATTACATGGAGAGGAACAATTTAACAGAGGTGAAGAAAGGGAGAGACTCGCCTGAAAGGATTGGATTTTTAACCAGAAACTGCCGTTGATTCAAAGAATTAACCTTTCAAGGCAAAGGAAGGATTTTCTTCTTCTCCTCTGTCGATGTTAGTACTAGAAAATGAGGAAAACAAAGTCAAAACCACCATACTTACAAAACCCAGAAACCAGAAAACAAAACCAAAGGCCCCATGTAACTCCTCTCTCTCCCTACACAACTGTGTGGCCTCCATATCTAAGCAGTGAATTACAAACCATGAAAAGGACAAAAAAATGGATAAAGAAGGAGAAATGTTTCACTTTTATCTTCCTTATTTCACGGCTATTGCTACCTCTTTTTCTCAGCAAGAATCTCTCAGTTGAGTCTTCAGAACAGACATGAATAGACACCCTCAGGGGTCATCATCAAAGAGACCAGCCATGCAATGAATCAGAAGAAAGAAAGTTTTGTATTTTTTTTCGTGAATTAAAGGTTTCTTTTTTTTGCTTTGCTTTGCTTTTCCCTATTTTTTTTCACCTTCTTTTCATCTCCTTTCAAGCAGTCCAAAACTAAAAAAACTGTTTTTTCTGTCGTAATAAAAAAGATGCTATGAACATAGACAAAATCCTTTCACATAAAAAGCCCCCCAAAATAAAAGAAAAACAATACAAATTTATTACCTAACAAGGCCTGAATAGAGCAAAAGGTAAAAGGAAAAAACCCAACACGAAAACAAAAACACCAGTGAATTCTGAAGAGTAGGGTTATCAGTTTCTTTTTTTTTTTTTTGGCTCTTTCTCTCTTGTTCTTTAATGGGTTTATCTTTTTTCTTATGCTCTTTTATTTGAAACTCACGATTTCAGTTTCTCCATCGTCAGTGCTAAAAAATTAGCATGGAATTGCAGAGAAAAGACAGAGAAAAAGAGAAAACAAAGTGAGAGAGAGTGACTGAGAGAGCCAAAAAAACCAAGACGAAGAAGAGAAAGCTTTTTGTTAATTAGAGGAGTTGTTGGGTTGACTATGAAGACGCTGTGCATGGATATCAGTAGTTTTTGGCTACTACCTCCCCTCCACTATCTCCTAATATAGCAGCATATTTCACGTCAGTTTTTTTTTTTTTTTTTCCTTTTACCTTCTCTTTCTGCTGCTTTCTTCTACAACTGCAGATGATTTTTTTTTTTTCGGTGGAATTTCGATAGCTACTCTCTTACAAAAGCACAGAGACATTGAATTCGCTTGCTTGGCTAATTTCCACGGCTTTGGTGTTTGGGGATTTTCTTTCCTTTAATTGGAATAGAATTTTGAAGCTTAGAAAACAAAAATATGGAAAATGTATCTTTTTGGTATAAAAAGGTTGCAAGGGGGATTTTGAATCTTTAGAAAAAAAAAAAAAAAAATTTTTTTTTTTTAATGTAAAGAAGATTATACTTTAAAATAACAAATAGATTGTATTTATTAGAATTTAAAATTTAAAATTATTAAATATTATTTTTTTTAAAATTGATTGAATGAACGGATAGAATTAAATCTTAGAATTCACATGAAAGAACGTATATGGTTGTTGAGTGTTGGGATTAATTTGGTTTATTATAAAGAAATAGAAGAGATAACGATGGATTTTATGTTTAAAACTATATTAAACTAATGAAATTATTTTAAAAACATGTTGTTATTTTCATTTAGTATTATCAATATATAAAAAAAAAACTAGTATATGATAAACTAAGGTGAGTATGAATTATGCAGCAAATTAATTGAAACAGATAGCCTGATTGATTAAAAATTTCAAGGTATTGAATTTAAATTTTTATGGCTTTTAAAGAAAAATTGAAATAGACCTGGGCCCAGTGACGGTGCCTGAACTTTGATGAGCTAGCCCACTGAACTAAAACTTGACAAACGGAAAATACTATATATATATATATATATACCCACCTTGTAGACCCACCATATCATGATAATGAAGGCCCGGGATGGCTGAGAAGGCCTAAATAACTTTTTAGATGTGATAATTTATATATTTATGTTATATAAAATATAAAATTTTATATATTTATATTATATTTTATATATAAATTATATGTTAAAATTTATATTGATATGAAAATATAAAATATATTTTTTATTTTATTAAATTTTATATATAATAATTATTAAAATTTTAGATTATCGAATCTATTTTTTATTTAATTAATGGATTCTTGACCCGAACCCACTATTATTGATTATATATTTGATAATGAAATTTTTATTTGCACTAGAGTTTTTGCTCTCTACACTATTTTTAAAATTATCTTAATGTTAAATTATTTAATTATTTTGTTTACTTTTGAAAGTTTCTAAATATCCATATTCAATGAGTTATTTAACTTATTGGATATGCATATTCGATAAATTTATAACTTATTAGATATGCATATTTTGTAAATTATTTAAACATTAGTAGGAAAATCCTAAACTTTAAATCTAGAAATTTAGTTTAGGAAAAAAATTCACATATTGAATTTTTACAAAGTTACTAAGAAAAATACGATTTATTTTAAATAATTATAAGTTTATTTGCAAATTGATAGATAAAAACTATAGTTTTAATAATAAGTGCACATGATTACAACATGTGAATCTTTCAATTTCTTCTTGATTTCAATGATCTTAGAAGGAAAATGACTAATATTCCTAATAAGATTCTTAAGCACTTAAATTATGTTTCTAATGAGGGTAGGAAACTTTTAAAATGTTTTAGATATGCAAATTCAAAAATTTTTTAAAGTTTTTTTTAAAATTTAATTAAATAATTTTATTTAAAAATAATTTTAAAAAAGTCATGGAGAGCAAAAAGAGTGATGCAAATAGAAGCCTTCTTTGATAAATTGGTATTAAAACATTCATTAATTTTTGCACAATTTTATTGAAATGCCCTTGTGAAAATTATTAATGAATGTCTTTAACTTTAACTTTAACTTTAACTTTAACCGTAAGGAGTAGGGACATAATTGGAAAGAATCTTGCACGAACATTTAGGGGAATGAATGATGGTTTGTATAGGGTTAACAAATGGGGCGGTTAGTGGTATGATCACTGATCAAAGTTACCAAAGCCATACCTTTTGAAGTTGTAGGTTGTAAGGGTGATAATAATTTAAATTAGATCAGATTCGATTTTATTTTTTAAATAATATATAAAATTATAAATTTTTAAAATTTAATTTAAATTTAAATTAAATTTTCATATGATTTAATCTAAATCGAATTCTATCGATTCGATTTGGTTTATTAATTTTAAAACTTAATTTTTTTATTTTTTATATTATTTTAATATAATTTTTAATATATTTAAATACATTTAAATATAAAATAATTATTTTATTTTATAAAAATTTAATATATATAAGTTGATAAAAATATATAATTCGATTTGGTTCCTTGTTTTTTTAGTGTTTGACTTCTCGATCTAAAATTCGATTCGAACCTAATATATATATATATATATATATAATATTCAAACTTAATTCGAATTAAATTAAAAAAAAATCAATCTGAACCAAACTGAACATTATGATTTTGAATTAGTTTTTAGTTTTTTTTATTTTTTTTTCTCGCCCCTAATAGGTTACGTATTTTTTGATTAATTTTGATCTAGTTTTAGCTTTTGTTTTAATCTAAATGGTTTTGACAAGCCACTGCTTCTACCTAATATGTAGATAGACAAAGGAAATTTCAAGGAAAATAAAAAAAAAAAAGATAGTGTAAAGAAAATCTTCAATGAAAAACTTAAATACTTCCCTTGTTTGGTGTGGTTTTTTTTTTTTTTTTTTATATAGAAAATGGTGTAGTTTTATGTATTATAAAATGCCAAAAATCACATGTTACTTTCATTTATCTCTTTTCTTCCTCTCTCTTGAAATTTATTCTCTCTCACCTCATTTAAGCTTTAACACCAAAAAATCTCATAAACTCAGAAATTGATATTTCGTTGTTATTGCCGCCAACATTGATTGTCATTGGCCATCACTCATTGATGTTGATTTGGTTTTGAATTTCATGGTCAAATCCTTTTAGCCTCTTTTTTCTTTTTCTTGAGTTAATTTTCTTTAAAAACGACTTAATAAAACTAGATCTACCAAAAAGTTCGGGGCTTCAACCATAAAAAAACCAATTTTCATTACTCCATATACCCTAATTTCTTACTATTTTTTCCCTTTTTTTTTGCTTTCCATTTCCACTATTTTAGATTTTCCAAAGGTTACTTACCACTATGAGCCTCAACATTTATTACCAACGATGGTGACTCCCTCTTTTTCAAAATTTTGGAAGCCTCTTTCTATTATATCCTTGAGTTTTTCCTAACTTCTATTTGTAAGCAATCAACCCCAAAATAAAAAAGATTCAATGAAAACTTTTTTCTTTTTTGTTTTCTAAGTAATTTTTTTCTTATAATTTATTTATTACGTAAATCATCTCTGTGAGCACGCCGAAAGAAGTTTTAAGTTTTTTGGGCAAATTGAACTATATTTCTCGTTTCATTTCTCAACTTACCTCCAAACGCAATCTCATTTTTAAACTATTTCGAAAGAATAACCCTGGTGAGTGGAATGAAGAATGCCAAGGAACTTTTGATAAGGTTAAGTAGTACTTGTTAAATCCTTTAGTGTTGGTACTACCTGTTTCAAGAATATCATTAATTTTATATTTGATTGTACATGAGAAGTTAATGAGGTGTGTGTTGAGGTAGTAAGATGAGTCTAATAGGAAAGAAAGGACTATTTACTACCTAAGCAAGAAGTTCAGAAAATATGAGTCTAAGTATTCATCATTGGAGAAAATGTATTATATTTTAGCTTGGACAGCTAAAAGACTCAAACAATATATATTTTACCATACACTTGGCTTATAACCAAATTAGACACAATCAAGTATATCTTCGTGATCTTAGTTTACTACTACTTGTTTGTTGTTGATTACTTCATTCCTTACAAAATTGCTTCCTTTTATTGTATTGTTCTTTTGAATTTTTTTTTTTTTTATATTTTGGTTTGAAAATCCCAAACAAAAACCCTAAAAACACCCAAAATTCTTAAAAACCTAAACTAGTAAAACCTTTTTTAGTGCCTCATCTACATTGGTTTTTCTTCTTGTTGTTTTTTTGGAATTGTAGTATTTACACTATTTAAAGGGTAAAATAATTATTTCACATATTGAATAGGTGTCATGCGTTACACCTCTTAGAAGATAGTTTTCATATATGGTTATAGATTATAGATTTGTAAAGGATAATTTTATAATTATAGATGAATGTTGAATTTTATATTATATTTCTAATTTAGGTGATTTTTGGATAAATAATAACAAAAATGAAATGTTTCACAAATATTTTTTATATTTCACAAATATTGTTGTTAATGCAAATGGTAAATTTCATTAATGTACTTTCAATTAAATTGGTATTGAACAAAAATAACAAAAATAATATTTCACCATATAATTTCATAGTGAAAATGATAAATTTTCATCAATTTCAATATTTTATGTGCAAAAAGTTACAAAATCAAAAGTAAAATGATAAAATTCAATATTATTCCATAGTATTGTAACAAAGTCATCTTTTATCCCAAAATTTTTGGGAATAAGATTGTTTCTAAAATTAGTAGAATAAATTATTCAAAAAAATTAGTAGAATAAATTTATAATAAAAAAATTAGTAGTAATTAAAGGTATCTCTTGTCTTAATTGTATACTCTTGAATTATTAATGGTTATGAAGTCAAAATCTTAATATCTTTTCTATTATTAGGGTTAACATTTGTGATATGTTCTGATGATGTGATAAGTAGTTAATGGGATTTGGATTTTGCAAAAACATTTTTAGTGCTATAATCTTGTTAATATGGTTTTTGATAAGTAGTAAATAAAACTGTCTAATTTATATAATATATTAAAGTTATTCCCACTCATTTACACAATGTTAACTAAGATTTGATATAAAATATGATTTGAAGGGTAATTGGGGTCTTTAATTATATAATTTAATATCACTTTTGATTTTTGACATATATTTTTGGATTAATTGGACTATTCTGTTTTATAGGGGTTTTTTAGAACTTCAATTAAATTTAATTGATGTATTTGAG